CTTTCTCGAGATCCTCCCACAGGTAAAGTCGGCGTTCCGGGGGAATGGGGAGGAAGTACGACGCCAAACCGGTGTAGATCTGCGTCATGGTCGACCCTATAGTTTTCGTCATCTCGGCCCCGAGCAGGGTTTCGTATCTCGCGTACAGCTTATCGACCTCATCGGCGGGTACTTTCTGGATCTTATCTGGAGCGTAGTCCCCAAAGTATTGTTTGGCTTTGCCGCCGACCGCCAGCACTACCAGTTTCTCTCGCTTGTCGTCGTCCACCAGTTCCTCTTGCTTATCACCGAACAGTTGTTCGAGCAGGTCGTTGCACTCCATCCTATAATGTAACAAGCGATTTTTAATTCTAATAATATAATACCCGATACACGCGAAACATAGCGAGATGAAGGTTAAGTTACACACGATGAGCACTTCAAAAGCTGACATCTATATAGAACTGTAACCGTTAATTGCTAAGCATTTGCTAAGCATTGCTAAGCATTTACTAAGCATTGCTAAGCACTTGGTAAGCCACGGGTTGGTCGGTTTTCAGCACGAGCTTAGCATGCTTCGTCTTGGCTAGCTGCCTCTTCACCCATTCCCGTTCTAGTTTGCTAGGGATCACGTCGTTCTCTCTCAAGCACTCCTCGAACGAATCCCTGTCCTTGCAGTGGAATAAGGCTACCCACCGCGTCTGTTCCCTGAGGTCTTTCAACACTGAGTTGAATTTCTGCATCAGCACCCAGACGCTGTGCTTTGCGTACCGGCCGGAGAAGGCCAGGTACGATAGCATGTCTCTCTTCTTTGTTATCTCCTTGTTAGCGCTGCAGTCGTCCAGGATGAACAGCGTCGAATCCCCTTTAAATTTCCCGTGATAAGCCTTCAGCCAGTCCTGCAGGCGTTTTCCCGGGTCAACTCTGTGTACGTCAGGGTCCGTCATCACCCAAGATCTTTCCGTGAACGTTTTGTTGATGTGCAGAGTAGGGCACATGATAACGATGTTATCGAACACGTCCCGGTAGTAACCCTCCAGCATATCCAGCACGAAAACGGTCTTCCCACAGCCCGTCTGGACGCACACGATAGCGCAGTGTGGATCGTGAGATAGATTAATAGATGGCTTGCACGAATCTTCCATTGTCTATATTAAGTTGCACGTCCATAATCACGTACAAGTATAATTTTAATCTGCCTGCGGTTTGAGCCTTCTTGGTGATTTGGATGGTTATCCCCTCGCTGCCGTGTAGCCTGTCGTCGTCCGTGGATTGCATGTCCAACCATAGCGCGTACTTGGTGGTCAGGTATTCACCGATCTGCACGGAGGATAGATCCAGGTCCTTAATGACGTGTGGGTGCCGGGTCGGTAGCTTCTTTATCTCATCCCACTGCTGGTATGCCCTCATACCTTGGCTGAACAGCTGGTTGGGCACGCCCTCGATGGTCACTTCCACCTTCGTGATCTCAGGGTTGAAAAACTTCTCGCTGTCCCCTCGGAACGGGGAGGATCAGGATACCTTTCATCGGCACGTTCAGGTTGATATTCCACTGCGTGTCGCTCTTGTCCCGTACTATCGTCCGGTGCTGCAGGACCCGGTCGTACAGGATGGCCACCTTCCCCGAGTACTGTTTTCGAACCTGCCTGGCCAGCTCCAGGCTAGTGACCATGTTGAACTCCAGAGAGATGTTGTCGATGGTGTAACTGGCCCCATCGCAGTTCGGCGTACGCACAACTTTGCTGTAGTCGTTAAATGTGAGCTCATATTCCAGCCTATCACCCAGCGCAGCCTGGTAAAACGGCGCATGCCCAGTGAGCAACTCGAAGTCGAGGGGCACGCAGAACCTGTTCCCGTACGCTTCAGCGATGGCCTTTTCACCCGCCGGGATGTTGTCGAACTGGTCTTGCGTGAAGCTGTCCCCGACGCGCAACGGGGTTGATTTGCTGATGCCTTGGTACACGTCGTTAACGCGTTCGCCCTTGCTTTTCCAGAGGTCCCCGTAGTAGTGAAACACGTCGCTGTCGTCGATGCTCAGCACCTCGTTGCCGCTGATTTTGATGGTAGTCTTCTTGACGATGGCACGACCGACGTTCCGCACGGGCTCGCGTTTGTCGTTGTCGGAGGTCAACGTGAGGTTGAACGCCAGTCGGACCATGCCGGGGTACGATGAGGTCATTCTCACCCAGGTTGGGGAATCGAACCAGCAGCATTTGGTTCTGGTCTATCTTGCTAGGATTGTTGGTGATGGTCACCGACTGACGCACGGCTCTGACGCCTAGAGGCTCCCTTCATCTCCGGAAAGGGTCTAACTTTCTTCCGTACTGTGACATTGTTATATACATAAAATATAAAAGTTTAATATAATAAATATAATGGCCGAAGGTGGTGGTTACAATGACATCCAGATGCATGACTTGGGGGGACCACTAGTTCGGGGGTGACGAGGAAACCTCGTTCTCGCAAGGCAACAGACTCCTGAAGCAGACCGTCGACGAATACTACGACAAGTTGAGGCGTAAACACAACGTCGAGCCGTGGGGCCGAGACTATTCCAAGTTTACTCTCGACGAGAATGGCATGCTGCGATTGAGGGCTAACCATGGGGGTCGATCTCATGAGCAAACACACGAGAAAACCGCTTGCCTTATCAACACTCATCAGTCGCCATGGGGGCGACTTTATCCGCGGTGAACCAAACCTCATAGATTATCAACCTAAGCTTCCACCGAAGGTTGTCCAAGATCTGCAAGCTACCAGGGCCGAACTCAACGATGATGGGGATGTGCCCCAACGTGCCATCGAAAAACTGTTGGGCACGTTCCATAACAAACCCTTACCTGGGTTCGATTTTACCGTTTGGGAACTGCCAGGGCTGGACAAGGCCATGCAAACCATTCGTGGGTCACTCGTGGACAACACGGCCAAACTAGACGCGATCGATGAACACATAGCCCGTGAAAAGAACAAACTCAGCAAGGTAGACGACAAGTCTCTGAAAACCATCATCAGGGAACGATTGCGCAACCTGGAAGAGGAAAGATCAACCCGACTGGAAGTGGCGTCCTCCTTCCGAGAACAGCTTCGGTCCCAGATCAGCCGTGTGCGGGAAACCATTGATCGAGTCCTCTACCAGGACACCACGTTGGCCGACAGGAGCAAGGGATCACCATCGCCAGCGTTCTGACGGCATTGGGCTTCATCATATCAACCCTGGTCGTGTCGCTGATGGGAGGCTTTGGCATACCAACACCCCCAACCCCACCAAGTGGTGGCGACGCCAGAGACTGGGTGAGAAGACATCTGAAATCCCTCGGGAAGGCCCTGGCTAAACTCGTGGGTTAAGGCCGCCGAAGCCCTGCCCGGCATCCTGGGTAGCATCCTCTCATGGCTGCTGAGCACACTGGCTAAAGCTGTCACGTGGCTCGGCCAAAACCTGTGGGCAGCCATCGTCGCAGTGGCGGGTCTGATGTACGTAGCGGCTAAGGAATTTTTAACCAAATGAGGCCCAAGCCGACAAAAAAGGTGTCGTTTTTGTGAACGATTTAATACATGAAGAAGGCAGACTGCTCACATATAAAGAATTTTCCAAAACGTTTTCAATAAAAACCAATTTCTTAACGTATGAATCGGTGAAAAAAGCAATTATAACATATGCTCGAACACTGAATATAAAGCAATTTAAAAAGAAATTAAGCGAACCAATCTATCCTTTTAATATCTCAAAAATTGACACCATAATTGGGAGTAAAAAACTATATGCCGCCCTCTTGAACTCAAACTTTGTTTGGTTGCCAAGTTTTTCAAAATGGGAAAGAGTTCTAAAGAGTGATTTTACTGAAAAACGACTGGAATTTTTTTTACATTATCGCGAATAAATGTTCGCGAAGCATAGACTTGAAATGGTTGCAATATAGAATTATCCACAATATTAATATCCTCCCAACAAAACAACTACTTTATAAAATGGGATACACATCCTCACCAATATGTCCATTTTGTGAACAAGAAAGAGAAACTATCAACCATATGTTATGGGAATGTGAATTTGTTTTTAAATTATGGAAAGAAATAGAATCATGGTTGAACTCGGTACAGTTACAACTGGAACTTACAAATAAAATCGTTATATTGGGAATGAAAGGAAAAAACAATAATCCGATTAATGAAATCATTTCAGTTGTCAAACATTATATCTATAGATGCAGCATAAATGTTTTCAAACCAAAGTTCGAATATTTAAAAAATGAAATTGTCCGTCACTATGATATGTCAAGATATGTTTACTTATCTGCGGGAACTGAACAATTGTTTTTTCAATATTGGTCAACATTACATCTATTACTTGGAAGATAATCCAGCCAATTATACTTTTTCAGCCAACTGTACATTTTCATACATGTATACATATACCATTGTATTATTATGAAACTTATCTATACATGTTTGCCTGTACATGAAATATGGTAAATAAAAAAAAAAAATTTTTTTATCAAAGTGAATTTGTTTTTATAAGAAACCAAATTATTCATCAAAGTCTACATAATTTTACAACAAAATCAAGATTATCGAGCAAAAAAGATTTCATCTTTGATGATCAGTCTATACTTATACTATCAATTGCGCATGAGGGTGGCGCAACAAAGGTAACGAACCAGTCATGAATTCTGGGTTATCATCCGGGTACTCACGGGAGAAAAACAATAACAACAGCAACAACCAGTCCACGGAAATTGCTCTGGATCAGTGTCCCTTTAACTCTCTTTTGCTCCTTATGGTGCGTTTTGTCTCAAGATTTGTGCCGTTTTGATCATGTGCCGTTTTAGCGTGAAACTTAGACCGAAAATTTGAACAAAATTTCAGTTTAAAAAATGATCTTACATACAATTGATTTGAGTTAGTTACGAAGTTACTTCTTGGTGCATATTTGTCCTCATGCTGATCTTCATTTGATCAACGCATCATTATTCTTCGCCCATCCCATTTGTCCACCGTTCCTGGCCATTTCTTGTCTGCGCACCCAAACACATCCAGTATAGAAACTGCGGAAAACTATTTGCCGGCTTCCGGTTAATTCAGCGACCTCTTGAGTTCGAACGCTTTGGGGGGTTTATGTTCGAAGATCGAGGAAAATGACAATGAATGCGCTCGGTCAACAACAGCAGGTATTTTTTCCTTAAATGGTGCTATGAAACTTCGAAACAGATGTCGGTTAAACATAAATCATGACACGCCCATCCGCTGTTAGTTACTATGAGTATTCAAGCTCGGCCGAGTCACTAGTCAGTATTAAATTTGCACGATGCCTGATAAAGCCTAAGGCCTTCTGTTGGGTATGTTACTTTTGTACCTAAAGGGGTTAAAGGTACAAAATACGGTTAAATTCAGTGAATAACTAGGATAGCATAATATTCCTGTCATTTGATATATTTCAAGTACTTCAGCCATTGTTTCTGTGCTCACATGTAATGATTCTCATTGGTTGTTTATGTTCTCTTTCTCGGTATTCAGAAATATTATGCCTGTTTATTGTAGCATGATCACAATGATTTTCGCCTTTGATTTTAAACGTTGACTGCAGTATTGTGAATTCCTCTGGCTGATGTTCATTATGAATTGTCATAACACCAGATACATGAAAAATAATGTCAAAAACAGAAGTTTGGTGACGGATATATGTTGCAGATCTATTTGTCCTGGATCCGGTTGTATCATTGCTTCATTAACTAATGTCAACATTAAACCCTAATCATAAATTAAATCCTTAATGCATCATTAGTTAATAGCATCATTAAAAACGGTTGTATCAAACACTTATTAGTGTATCATTATCTAATGACGTCCTAATGTAAATATTTTCATTAATCGGGGATTCCGTAAAAAATTTCCACAATTCCGCGCTGTAAACATGTAAGTGTTACTCTCAGTCGTCTGTCAAAATGGCATCTTTAGGGCTAAACCCCTCGGAACAAAAACAAACATTTCGACTGCTGTGAAGAAACACGTCTAAATCATTCTGAAACGTCGCCGATAAACCTAGAATCGGTTGGGATGTTTTGGAAAATACACGAATACGAACGCCAAAGTGAGCTTTCCGTCATATTGGATAGTGTGTACAAAATCAAGTTTCGCTAAGGCCAGTCATAGGACGCCAATTACATCATGTATATTTCATATTCAGTTGTGACAAATGCATCGCTGAATTCCTCATACATTTTAGAATCAAATTCCAAATGGTATTTGTCACTAAAGTGTCTAAGAAAAAACGAAACATACTGGGTGTGAAAACAGGACGTTGTGCTCATTACACAGCGCTTGCTAGAAATATAAACAAAGCACAAATCAGATTTTATACTGTGCAGCATTTTCTCAATTTTTTAGACATCAGTTCGTCTATTCGTAGCATGCATGAGCTCAATATTTGTAGAATATGCACGGAAAGAGTATCGTAGCAAGGACTAGAAAACTTAAAACAGATACAATACTGATGAAATTTGATATATTCATACGAAAGTTCTGTGCAGCGTGACGCCATGCAAGACGCAAAATCATGGAGAACGACATAAGCAATTATCAGCATTTCTGACTTTTTCAATGAACACAATAAAAACAAACAACTATACGCAGATAGTCAGAATGTTTCCAACTACTTACATCATACATTTATGGACAAAGGTTCCCTTGCAAAATCGTGGGCACCCATATCCACGAAGCCGCCATTTCATGAGAAATCGGTCATTGGTAGTGATGTCATACATCAACATTGTTGGACATATGTGGCAATTTCTTTAAGGTGAAGGTCGGTTGAATAAGAGTAAACACAATAACACTCTCCTGCGGATTACACTTGTATTATTAATGTATACTTTGCGTATCGTTCACATATGGTTTCATGAAACTAATTTCATTATCAACATTTAGTATTTTAAACCTAAGTAAACCTGACGTAATAAATAAAAATTATTTATTTATTTCATGAAATGTATATATGCACACGTTTTTAAAGGAAATGTCTTGTTCATTGAATTTGTTTATGTTGTGTATAGACAAAACAATGGCGTATAATCATTGGCCAGGTGCGCGTTTGTCACAAATGTTTTGAGTATCATTGTTTTCAATAATTCCGTGAACCAAACATCACGAAAATATTGTGTCCTTATTCACAGCATATTCTCGCCAAGTGATCTGAGTTACAATGACTGAGTATTAAGCATTCCGGAATGAGGCCCCCTTATCTATATAAGCGTGTGACCATTATGTAGCCATTTGACGTCATAGGGGAAAATCCATTTTCAACACATATTGCGAGTCACTTTTAAGATTGAGTGTATAACGTTATACATAAGCACACAAACTAATTTAATACATACCTATGTCATTCAGGTGTCAGGCAGAATTTTGTTCGCTCACACTTTCCGTAAAGATGCCAAATTGAAATTATAGTACTTTTATCAGTGCACGATAAAAAGCAGAGAAATTTACTGTTTTTAACGCATACCAAAAGTAAGGGTAACATTTAGCAGTGTCTACTTTTCAAACTGAGTTTATACCATGAGATACATTTAATACTCTACATTTCTGTGTAATTTTATAGCTGTAGGTAGATTCAGTGCGGCGCAATGTTCACTTTTCCAGGAAGTTTAATGACGCTCTAATGATACCCCAGAACCTTCATTAAGTTAATGACGCACTAATGACAACAGAGCATCATTAAAACGTTAGTACAACAGAATTTAATGATACATTAGCTAATGAACGTGTAATGGCATGTTAATGCTTCATTATAGTTTGATACAACCATATCCAGTACTAGATGGTGGGTATTAGTATCCTTGAGTCATGTAAGTTTGATCACTTAAGAACTGTCGCTGAATTTTCAAAGTTTTATTCATATTATTTTATTTTCAAATCTCTTACCTGTAAACTTGTTTATTTATGTCAAACATTTCCAAAATCCAGGTAATTTTACTGCTTTTCACAATCGCGGCATGGCCGCCCTCTTACTGTCAACACAAGTGACCCAGAAAGCTACGTCACACAAGTTCGATCATATGATTGGCTGGCTTGTCGCGTAACAGGATGACTTGTAAGGACGATCTCTTGTGTCAAATTCAGAGCTAGAACAGTCCCAATTAATTTTATGGTATTTATGTCCATGAAACGTTCATTTTATGTTTCAATACTTCTAAAAACAATGAAAAGTCACAAATATTCAGCTTATATAGAAGTATTATGCAGGGGAATTATTCTTCGGGCTCATTGTGATGGGCATCAAACCTCAGAATGTAGACAAACACCACGAACTGGCTTGCAGAAACGTAAATGTGTTCTGTACGTGCTGACATGTAGGGTGGGTACATAGTGCCAAGGTTGTATTTATCAATGAGGCAATAGCTCGAACTTCATCAGGTACAAATTCACGGAAATTCTCAAAAAGCATTAAGTTTTCTATACGAAATGGCCCTTAACTTGTTTCCAAAGTTTTAAATTTTGACAAGGATATCACGTGTCTGGACATGTCACAATTAGACCAGCAACGTAAACAAACAGAAGACAGGGGTGCTGTCAATTTACAACGTGTGAAATTTATACTGTTTACATTTTATTTGAGCTGATAAAGTCATTATTGATCTAGGGTTAAAAAGTAGTTGTTTGTTGAAAATGAGCTATAACTTACATTTGGTAACTTGACACGAAAAAATATCCGGTCCAAGCGAATGAAAGTGGAGTCACCAGAAGATCAAAGCTGCAGATATCGTAAGTTATCGCTACGTATTCCGACAATTACCATTCAAAATGGGCGATCGAAATTACATAACGATCAAACTTGTGTGACTTGGCGATATTACCTGCAGATTAAGGGGAATTCCACAGCAAATGAAAATATGGAGCTTTCATTCAACTCTATCATAACAATATAAAGTGTGACCACATGTTCTGTGTAATGGATTCGTAATATATGCAGTAAAAATGCAAACCCAGAGTGCAGCATTTACCAATGAACCATGGGTCAGCCGAGAACCATGGTTGGCAATCACTGATGAAATGATAAGTCATACTGTCTTTGGTCCTGGCTAACGATTAAACAGTGTGGATGATGATGGTGTTAACCCCTTGGATGCCAAATTCTCTCTCTGACGCACATTTATTCCAAGGTCTGAAAAGTGAATGATGTACAAGAAATGCACTTGTGTGACCCTGGATCTGCCAACAGCTATAACATTACAAAAAAATATAGAATGTTAAATGTGCTACTCACTGTTAAACAGTTATTGCCAATACAACAGTATCATGCGTGCGCAGTTCCAGTCAGTAAGGTGCGGTGGGGTAGCCTAATGGTTAAAGCATTTGCTTGTCACGCCGAAGGCCCCGGGTTCGATTCCCCACATGGGCACAATATGTGAAGCCCATTTCTGGTGTCCCCTGCCATGATATTGCTGGAATATTGCTAAAAGCAGCGTAAAACCATATTAACTCACTCACTCCAGTCAATAACAATTCAGCCCACAGTATTTGACAACAATAAAGGACAGCAAAAGAAAATTCTTCACGGTAAGTAACATAAGAGAAAACTTAAAGATAAAGTTATGAACCCACGGCGGGGGACACCAGAAATAGGGTGAAATTCTGAAATGGCGACAACTGTTACAGTTAGTTGTGAGAAAACACCTATTTGTGCTGCCATGATTTCCCTCTGGCGCGTTATATATTATAAAAACACGATGACGGCAGTGAACAGGTTCGACACATCAGTGAATAGCTAATTAAGTATCATAATTAATCCTGTTTCATTAATTTAATGAGCAGTGGAATATTTTTGTAAATACCGCTAAAATATGGCAATAACTGTCCGGCAGCAAGTATACATATTATAAATCCAAGTGCTGCTAACTGTTGTTAGAAATTTGGATATGCAATAAAAATCAGTAAAAATTCTCCACTTTTTATCATACACTGCGAAAAGCACTGTGTGATAATTTATTTATTTGGCATCTTATGGAAAGTGTGATTGAACAAAACACCCTTTTATGTGAACGACATCCATAACAGTTTACATTCGATATAAAAATGTCTTACCAAAATAGCGAAAATGGATTTTCCTCTTCAGTGTCAAACAGCAACAGAGAGGTCATACATGCAGAAAGATAAGGGGGCTTTACTCTTGTCATAGAAACTCAATTCACCTGGAGAGAATTTGCTGTGGATAAGGGCACTACATTTTTGTGAGGTTTTGTTCACGATGAACCAAACTATTCCAATACACATGATACAAAGATCCCCACTGTTAACCAGTAGTAGAAGTAGTATTACAAATTGAAAGAAATTTTGAAATCATACAACATGAGAAAGCATGTAATAGAGAAATGTATGGCCCTATCCAATTTGTAAATTTGTTCTTATATTCCCATATTCTGCTGCTTGTGTTGATGTATTTTGACTAATTTTGTACATTTATTAACAGAATACTAGCCATATCTTCAAATGTAATTACTGAAAAAATTCACCATTTTTGTTGATGTCATTGCTTGTTTCATGTTTTTTGCAATGTCGATTGAATAGTTTGTATCCCACCTAATTGTTTCAAAGGTCTTGGTTTGTCAGAATTTGATGCACTGTTCACAGAAAATAAAATGATCACACGCACCTGTCTGAGGACTCTGACAATTTCGTTTGAATTTACCAAATCATTGCAATAACGGTATATCTATTTTAATTTCTTAATTCATGCTACAAAACCCGTCCCATGCATATACCAAACACATTGAGCCAATAAGAGGAATGGATGTCTGAAAATTTGAGAAAATGCAACACGTTGTAAAATGTGAATTTTTCTTTGTTTACATGTGAAACTAGTGCAGTCTTATGAGTACAGCTTTCGTTTTCACACCCAATATATTTCGTTTGATTTCATCTAAACACTTGGTATTGGTGAAAAAGACCAATTATTATTTTATTGTAAATGTACAAGGAATTGAATAATGTATTTGTTAAAGCCGAGTATGAAATGTACGTGATGTAATAGGGGTCTCAGGACTGGCTTTTGTGAAATGTGATTTTGTTAACACTTTCCGAAATGGCGGATAGCTCATTTCAGCGTTCATGTATTTTTCAAAACATCCCAACCAGTTGTAGGTTTCAGAATTACAATTGGTGATTTGATGAAAAACAGATATCAGTGATCATTAATATGCTATTGAAATAGCATATTAATGATCACTGATTTCTGTTTAAAAATTCGATCCCCCGAGTAATTATCCGAATTTTACATGTCAAAATATACATTAAATAACGCAATGTGGTGTGTGAAAGTGACATTTGAAAGTGTAAATGTCACATCCAAGTTACGAGATACTGCTGACAACTGAGAGCAAGAGTGAGAGAAGCATATGTAAAAGGAAAAAGAGCAAATTTAGAGAAGATGTTGAATATAAAATGTACTAGTAATATATCCGGCAACACCTTCCCCGTTTGGGTAATGTTGTCTTCAACATTTATATTCGCTGTAGCATCAAAAAGACACAAGTGAACCAAATCTTTTTACAATTGCATACACACATGAGCCCACAACTTTAAGAGCAAAAAATACAACTGTACAAAAGCCTTGAATGATTCTGAGATACCATTTCCCGCTGCACTATTGTCAGAGGAAAATTCCATTTATCAGGAAAAACACCAGATGGATAGGCATCAATTGCCTTGTCTGGGCCAAACCAGAGGAACTCTGGAATGGATGAACCTTGCCCTGTCAGTGTTCCATTTTGACTTGTGATAGAAGTCTGCAACTACATCTTCATCAAGAGCAGAAATTCTACAGGACTCCTTTTTGACTGAAGCAGATGATTGTTTGTGTGGGCTGGAAGTAAGTGTCTTGGGGAAATGTTAGATATTCCATGTTTGCAAATGAAGATGAGTCCTGAAGCTTCATGACAGTTCCTACCATTTCCATGGGTTCCTCTATATTATCTCATTGTGATCCAGACCCAGATCAGTTCCACTGGATCCATCAATCTGAGACATCCAGCAGTTTCATCTTCTGACACCATGAGTTCTTGATATTCTGTAACCTTCAAGGGACACTGTTTTCTCTGTTCTCACTTTTCTTTCATTGTTTGATGTTCAAACACTGGTTCCACTGGCATTGACACAAGTGGCAAATGCATGTTCTTCTCAAGTATCTTCTTAGGTCCTTTGCCTGTTGCAGTGTGAAGACACTGGGATGTCCTGATTTAGTTGTCCACAACACGGGACACATCCTGTTCCCACTTGTCAGCAAGCTTGTGTTTCCAGTAAGTCGTAGCAGGCAAACAAGATCTTTATAGGCTTGGTATGATGCATATCCATGAGCAACGTTCAGTCCCTTTCTCAACTTGTTGAAATATTCATAAGTAGTAGTGCGGTCATCCACAATTTTATTCACTCCAAGGAAATCATAAACAGACAGGCATGGGTGTTGACAAAACGTAAGATAGAAAGGTGAGTGTCCTGTATTGTCATGTTTGTAGCATTGTAGTCTTGGACTAGAGGAGAGACTGGTAAGTCTTCCAGTCAGCTTTCTTTTCTTCTGCAAGGTGTTTAGACATAAGAGTCTGGTATAATCTCTCTCATTGTACTATCTCCTTGGTTATATGGTGTGGTTTGAGTCTTTTGAATTCCTGTAAATTGACATAACTCCTTGATGATATTGCCTACAAAGTTTCTACCTTGGTCACTATAGAGATTGGCTGTAAATGCCAAGTGCAAAATGAAATTATCAAAGAGAACTCTTGTTGTTGTCCTGGAAGATTGATTCTTTATTCTTATGGCAACAGCATATGGTGCAAAATGACCTGTGATAACACGAATTTTGCCAAATCCTAAGTCTTGATTCCTCTTACTGCAAGTAGTCCATCAATTGGTTTGGTAGTCTGAATGCTTGCTCAGATCAGTTGATTTCCCTTTTACAGGTTTTTCCGATGCAGTTCCCTAATTTGCAAACATATTTCTCTACGTCCTCATGCATGCCAGGCCAGAAATAAACCCTGTTTCAAATTAAGTCAAGAGTGTGGTCTCTGCCTTGATGTCCTGAGTTAACATGGATGGCCTTGAGAACTGTTTCCTTGTGAATGGTTGGTAACACAACTTGATGCACAGCCCATCTGGACTAATGAAACCCCAATAGAAAACTCCATTATTTAGAATCAACATGTCCCATTCCAAAAGAAGTTTCCTGTCGGATTGATCTTCAAGAGAACATTGGCAAGCATTTGGCTTGTGTCCTAGGTTGGAGAGTCATATCACCAAGGTTAGTGTTTTATCCGGTGACTATTCTTTTTTCCAGTTGTGGGCTTTTGATGCTAAAGACAAGGATGGTTCCTCTGCACATATGGCATCCTCGTCAAAGGTAAGACTTTCAACCTCAGTACATGTCATCTGGTGATCTTGACAGATACTCAATTTGTTTAACATCCAGTTTGGTTAAATCTCCTGCATAATCCTGGACAATCCATCTGCATCTTGGTTCTGGATTCCCAAGCGATAAATTATGCTGAAGTCATATTTAGAGAGTGACGCTGGAAATAAGTGCTTAGGAATTGGGAGGACGTGTGTCAGAGGGTTATCTCTCTTCACTTCATACTTCTTTCAAGAAGAGATATATGTGGAACTTGTCAGTGCCAAGAATTCAAGTTTTTGAGCTGGATTATTCTTCTCACTCTTCCATATGGCTCTACTGGCATAGACTACAACCTTTAAACATCCTTCTTGTTTCTGATAAATAGCTGCTCCAAGTTCAGGTGTGCTTGTATCTGTGTGTACCTCGAAAGGTTGGGTATAGTCAGCATAGGTGAGAATTGGTGGTTCAGTTAAATGCTTCATGAGAGTATCAAATACTGTTTGGTCTTCTTGACCAGATTCAGTTGTTCCCTCCTGTAGTTCACCTGCTTTTCTTTGGTTGTCCTATGAGCAAATCATTCAGTGGCTTAGCAATCTTGGTAAAATTCTTCACAAATTGCTTGTAGTAGCCATTAAATCCAAGACAATTGCGGACAACATCTGTATTTTGGGGTACTGCAAGGTCTTCAGGGCTCTGATTTCCTCTGGATGAGGTTCAATTACATTCACGGATAGAATGTGACCAAGATACTTAACCCTTTCTCTGAAAAGCTCACATTTAGATTGTTGTAGTTTGAGTCCATTATTTCTAAGTCTTTGAAATATTGCTTCCAGTCTTTCCACATGCTCATCAATGTGTTGGAGAATATGAATATGTCATCAAGATTAGACATTCTCTAAGTTTCAGATCTGCAATACATTTCTCCATAATCCTTTGAAAAGTTGATGGGGCATTGGTTAGGCCGAATGGCATTCTGTTAACATTCTGAAAATACCATGGGTCAGTGGAAAATGTGGTTTTCTCTTTGTCCTTTTCCTCAAGCTCAACTTTGCAGTATCCTGAACCATCTCAATTGGACAGACATATAAAGTTTCAGTAGTTCTTGGAATTGAGTAAGAATCCTGAACAGTCCTTGTATTCAGCATTGTCATGTCAAGACAGAAATGGAGACTGTTATCATTTTTGCAAGTTAAGACCACATTAGATGAGTATACTCTGTGAGATTTTCTGATGGCTCCACATGGAATCATCTCATGTAAGTGTTACCTTACTTCCTAAAATTTACCAGGAGGGATTCTTCGATGAAGCTGCTTGAGAGGAGTCTCATCTGTCAGCTTGATTCCATGCTTCACAGGACATCCATCCATCCAAGTCTCCAGCTCCACTTATTTGAAGGTCAAACTCAGTTAGGGGCTGACATTCAAGCTCTGATGAGGTTGATGGTGTAAAAAGCCTTGACTGATGGTTGTTAACTTGGATGCTACATCTAAAAGCGCAGAAAATCAACACCATATTAGCATCTCTGATCATTGTGTCCTGAAGATCTGTGGGCAAGGGCTGTCTTTTTCATTGGCCTCTACTAGCCCTTCAGAAGTAGGCCATTCTAGTGTAAAGTTCCTCCACGTTTTCCCCTGTCCACGTATACCAGGATGTCGGCCTTGAAGTGGGATACCAGTATCAGTAGCAAGCTCTTTCTTTTGTGCTGTTAAGATTGACAGTCTATCCAAGATCTGCTCCAGTAGTTTGTGAGTAGTGTTTTGCTTTTCCTTTGGCTGTGCAAGTTCCATCTTGTCCAGTCTGTTAAAACTTTTAGTAACTGCTGAGATTCCTCACCAGAAGTGTCTGTATCTGGTGTGATGTTCCTATCCATGATCTGAGGTTGCTGTGGGACCATTGCTCCGAACTTTGGTTATAGGTCTTCTTGCATCTCACTTTCCAGTTTTCTTGTGATGTGTTGAAAATCCTAAAAAGCCTTTCCTGAATAAGATGTATGTCAGGTTGTTTTGCTAGAGAATTTGCTCGAGAATATATTTTTCAGATTTTCTAGACGTAGCATCAATATGGCTTCCTCTATGTATTGTATCGCTCTCTGTAGTTGGGTTTCCAGTCTAATTGACCATGTGACAGATTCAGAGCTGTGTTGGTGAGTAGTGTGAAATGATTGCAGTAATTATTCTGGATTATCCATAGTGCCATATAATCCTTCCAGTTTCCTCACAATGGTGCTAAGTATAGCCTTCTCACCCAGCAACAGTAAAACACTTCATGCATCACTTTTGAAAACCTTTTTCAGAAAAGCAGGTGGGTAGTCATCATCCCAAATGAGACATCTCACAGCCCATTTCCAAGTTTCAAAAGTATGATTCCATTTTACAGGTGTCAAGAAAAGTGTGAAATCCTAAGCAGCTGAAATTAGTACATCTGCTGGTTGAGAAATCCCCTATACTCAAAAGTTTAACTTTCTATTAGGGACATGGTGATCATATGGTTACCAGAAGGAAATCCAGGATGCTTTTGCTTGATAGACTTCCCCTTATGTAGTGACGTGGATACGTTGCTCTGATGAAAGATGGAAGGGGTTGTAAGATGTTTGCTATGGTAGTAGTAGCAGGATGGGCTCACATCTTCTGCTTGTCCTCCTGAGTTATGGGCTTGTCATTATTCCACTTCTCATCCCCAGGAGACATAGAACTATCTTTTCACCTAAACAACAGAAGCACAATCACTAGCTGCAACCAGTATGTAAACTGGACAAAAAAACCACCAAACTTGTGTCAAAACAATACCTACAGACAACTCATGGAGATCAGACAAACCTTCAGAAACCACAGATGAAAAGAAATCAGTGTGGCCAGATGGAGTGACAACGATACGTAAAGTGATAGCAATTACAGTGTAAACCATATGACAGAGTGTAACAAATGTAAAGAAGTCAAACGTCTATAGCAAAGGGAGGTAATTAAAAATGACAAGTAAAAAAATGAAAGAAATAACAATCAGAACCAATATAATATTAATTTAATATAAATGCAGAAGCAAAGTACTGATGTACAACAGTACAAGAATCTGTATCGAAATGTCACACTCACGAAATAAAGTTGTTATCTATAAAGTTTGTTTATATTGTACTTCCCAACTTTTAAAATGCCACTCAAAGCTTAGAAATTTGTCTCAAACCAGAAATGATATCATTATGCTCAATGTAATATCAGGGAAGGTGCTGGTGGTGGTACTACCCCTGATTTTTCAAGTACACGTGAACAGTCTTCCTATATTATTTAATCTGTTTTAAGGTGAGCATTGGATACCTATGTTTTGGATTACTTTTATCATGTTGTTGCTGATGTGTTGGTGGTTATGGTGATATTCTTCCATGCATGAGTTCTGGTTAGCATTCGCTCTACTTTACCATCTGTGCATTATTAAATTAATTCTTTTGCCTTTTAAAAAGTGATTACTTAACGGGGTTGCTTCTGTTTTACATAATATGCAAATTTCCAGACTTGTTTATTTTGTTTTAGCCGAGACTCTTGACACCACAACAACCAACTGTGCTGCCTCAAGTGGACAGAGAACGTATATATCAGTGGATCAATGAGCTCACCAGTCCAGACAGCCGGGAAAATGCCCTATTAGAACTCAGGTCTGGTTCCTTTATGACATACATATTTGTACATACGGTTTTACACTGGGTTTGTGAGCTTTTTGCCCATTTTGTGTCCAGACATCATTAACTGAAAGTAGTAGTTTTTAACTTATCCCTTGACAACAGTAAGCAGTATTCCTTCTTGCATCATAGAACTGAGTAGAGCAGTGGAGAACATTACCCAGACACACACTACAACCACCTAGCATCCATCATGGTTCTGTACTTCCCATCATCTTTTCCTTCATTGCCCATATTGAACAGACATGTTTTTGCTATGCTTGCAACTGATGTGTAGTATTAGACTTAGTTTGTCTGTTGTTTGTTAATCTGTATAGAACTTCAGGTTCAGTATCATTGGTAGCCTAGCTGTATTTTGTAAATATTTAAACAACAGCTAATTAATTTCATCACTATTTCTTACATTCTCTCTTCCATCCCCTATTATGGTGACCTTTTTGGTTCGGTATATTTTGTTGGTTTGAAGAAACAACCCTTAGATATTTCACCTCCCTGAATTCCACTGACACCAAGCACCAGGACCAGTGGGAGGAAGTTGGAAACACAAGACACCCTGTTCTATAAGGGAACAACCTATTCTTTCAGAATCGACCAAATCTTGTCTCGTGAGCAGCGAGTGTAAGTTCTGTTGAGAGCAGCTTGGCCATTTGGCAAATATGTCTTATGTGAACTGGACAAAAACCTAGGATATGGGCATGATCATAGCTCTGAAAGTTCTCAATAAGGAATAACTGTCATTCTCTTGGGACACAGGTGGCCTTGTTGTCTAAGGTGTCACTGTTCATTTGCAGATTTGCATTCCTTGGGCAAGCTTGAAACAATTTTTGGTTCAAACATTGTTTCACTTCACCCTCCTTCACCCCGCCTCACCTCTTTCCACATTATGTTTTTGGTTTTATCGGAACCATGCCCAAACACTTTGATTTGACGGAAGTGGTACAGGCCTGTGACATCACTTCAGGCTTTCCTCCCATGTTAAGTTTTACTGCCATGATAGCTGGAATACTATTAAAAGTGGTGTAAGATAAACCCTACTCACTTGGTTTTATGTCCACTGCCATTCTAGATGGAAACAGTATGAAAATTTCGCACTGTGCCCAGACATGCGGAATGAATAATCAGCCTACATTCCAAGCATGCATATATATGCTAAATCACCCTGGATCCATAAAATATATCTGAGTCTCAGTCAACAGCTGCAGTTACCAGTTTCTTCTACCATATTCAGGAACCCATCTCACTATGGCTTTTCACTCAGATTTCAGCTCCTTTCATCAGTTTTGCACATATCCAAATAGTTTATCTCAGTGTATACATCAACAACTTCCCTTTGCCCAGTGAGGACAAGACAGAGCTTCGCCAAAATGCAGTGTTCCTGAACCAACTATTAGTTGTTCATCTTGGAATCCTGGTTTTCCCATCCAAATAGAAGATCAACCCAAAACTGAATATTTACATATGTTGCAGAATTCCAGCATAACCGAGGAATGCTGGGTCCACAAGAGCACCATTACCAGAAGATGGTCATTGAATGTCACCCAACCAGATTCCCTGGTGCATGTTGTTACTTTAGATTACCAGTACCTGTCGTCACTTTGTACTGTACATGACTTTACAGGCGAGACTTCATCCATCTGAAAGGCATTATAGTCAACAAATGATGGCACTGCAAAAAGATTTCTTTATGAAATGACTGTTGTGTGAGTGTGTAGTGAGCACCAGCCAGTGAGCACCAGCCAGTGAGCACAAGCCAGTGAGCACAGACAGCCTTTCTTCATGCTCTGTAAACATAGGTGACACTGTAATTATGTGATGCCATTTTCCTCGTTTGTTTACACCTGGAACTTTTTTAAACCATACTCTACTCTGTTTTAAACACTGAACTCCTTCTGACTTGAACAGCATTTAACATGACAGGCTGCAGACAGAGAGAGGAGGGCAAACAGACAGGCGTGTAGCATATACATTCAGTTTGTGTTACTATACAGGTAGTTGTGTACATGTGGTATAGTGACAGGATGAACTTCTTAATTGGATATTCCCTGTACCAAGCCATCCAAAGTTACTGAAGAATCTCACTTGGTGAACTTGCCATTATGGCAGGTATTCCTTTGGCATTCCAGTACTCCAGATAAGACCGCCTCTGTTGTGTAGTGGTTAGAGCGTCCGCCCGCGGAGAGCGGAAGGTCGCGATTCGATCCCTGACCGCGTCATACCAAAAGACGTTAAAATATGGTACTTGTTGGTCCCTGCCTGGCACTCGGCATTAATGGGTACAACAAGGACTGGTCGGCTCGGAGTCAGTATAATGTGTCTGAGTAGGGTATTCATGCTTCACTGCGGCATGGTATCTCAGTGGGCTAGCACTATAAAACCAGCTTAAGTCTGGGCTAGTACAAGCAGCCGCACATACACATACACACGCATGCACGTCGTCATATGAGCGAAATATTCTCAAGCACGACGTAAACCCCAATTTCACCTCACCTCACCTTACTCCAGATAATTTTCTAACTCCAGGAATATGTACTCCTGAAATTAGCTGAAGAGGAGAACAAGGGTAGAATCCTGTCTTTGTACAGCATCACTATGTCTCCAAATTAATTGTATCATGCTCGGTTTGCACAGACATAGTTATTAATATCTTGGACTGTTTTATCAATATTCTATTGTTATGCTAAAATATGATTTGTCTTCATCTGACAGTGAGTCACTGGATTTTCTCCTGACTGTCAAAGACACATTATATTGCAGTAACTTCAAAAGGTCTGTCAGCTGTTCATTAAATAACAGCTTGTAGTAAATCAACTACCACTTTTCCAGGTTATAATTAAAAACAATCAACTTTGGATCTTATTTCTACGGAAGCCTATTAGGGCCACTTAGTTTCTTGAATTTTCAACTTAATATCTTGAATTTTCTACTTAATATCTTGAATTTTCAAAATAGTACAAAAAATCAGTGGCCCTTATAGGCTTCTTTACTTTTCTTCTGAGGTACTGTGGAAATCTCTGTCCTATTGTTCCCTAATGAACAGTCAAAAATAGCTCATCCCAAATGGGCCTCTCCCAGCCTGTGAGCCAGCGACCTATGTGTCTGCTAGCTGCTTGTCACTCCATTTTCGCCCTCCTGTACGGTTGAGTGGATTTCCTCTCGTCCTTATACAAGCTAACGCTCTGTTATTTTGGCCCGTATTTCCAAATATATGCTTGTATATTAATCCTATATCCTTTTCACATCAGGGCGGTGGAGTAGCCTAGTGGTTAAAGTGTTCGCTCGTCACGCTGAAGACCCTGGTTCGATTCCCAACATGGGTACACTGTGTGAAACCCATTTCTGGTGTCCCGGTGTTCAGGGCGGTGATTTTGGTAATCAGTCACTGGCAGGATGTCCTACGAGCAACTTCCCTCATGGTCAGATCGGACAACACAGCAGTGGTTTGGCATATCAACAGAATGGGGTCAACGGGGTCTCCACAGCTTCTATAGTGGACTCAACAGTTCTTGGATCTGGTGGACTTTCTCAACATCATGGTACGAGCCAACCAAATGCCGGGGGTGAAGAATGTCATCGCAGATACCCTGTCCCGACCAAGTCGTCCTTCTCCAACAGAATGGAAATTACATCCTCGGGTGTTTCAGACCTTCTGCCTTCCAATGACTTCTCCAACAGTAGACCTCTTCGCCACGAGGTTCAACCATCAGCTGCTTTGGTTTGTGTCACCGATATGGGGCCTTTTGGCTTGGGACCTCGATGCTCAAGCCATCCCGTGGGAAGACCTGAATGCTTACGCGTTTCCGCCAGTGGCCCTTCTTCCTCGCATTCTAGTGAACTGTGTGCAACACGGAGGATGACTCTACTTTGGTCGGCCCTACTGACCGGCCAGAAGTTGGTTCGTAAATCTTCAAGACCTAGCCGAACCAGATCCTGTACCGCTTCCCAATCGACCCGATCTACTGGTTCATCAGCACGCACAGAAACGAACACCCAGCCAACTGAGACACGCCCCCTTGAGGCAACGATGAATTCTCCGTTCCTGGTCGAGGATCGTCAGCGTTTGCATTTTGATGGTGCCATAAGGAGAAATATGGCTGAACTCAACATGGTGTTGACTACTACCGGAGCAGTGTCGATGTTGGGTGCACTCGCTGTGTCCCATCAGCAAGTGTACATTCGAAGCGGCTATGGTTCTATTGCAAGAACAATTTCAAACCATTTGGTATGGTTCAGTGATCAGGATCGGTTCGGCGCTCTAAGTTGGTTCGCCGATCTGGATCGGATAGATGATCCGGTTCGGCTGTGTGATCTAAAGCGCTGAGTCAATCGAGACCAATGTACTCGTCTATATAGTTGTCCATACAATAATGGTGTACTCGACTAGTGTGTTCCAATCAAACAACAATTCAATAGGTTGAATCGTTGTTCCAATCGAAACGACACTGGTCTGAAGCGTTCTTCTAATCGAAAGAGCGCACTGGGCTGAAGTGCTCATCCAATCAAATGCGGCGCATCGGTCTAATGAGTTTGACCGAACGAGAGCGGTGAACTGAAGTGAGACAATGCACTGGTCTCTTCTTCCCTTTGTGAGAGCAACACATTGGTACAAAGTGGTGAATGGACAGCAAGGTACTCTCTGAAGTACCGAACAGAATTAGCAAGTAATTCATGATGACAGTAGCTAGGCGCATGGAGATACCAGATGATTCGGCGAATGTTGACAGTTCAACGAACACATTCGGTTCGGTGAATACTGTAGGAGTGGCGAACTGGTATTGAAATTAATAGATGCGATGCATGGGATCGTCAGTCTAACGGTACATTCGTATAGTTGATGGGAAGGCAAAGGTAAACCCCAGTGTCCCCAGCAACGTTTGTCATAGAGACCAAGGTAGTAACATCGATGCTTAAGAACTGTCTGAATAAAGCTGCAGTGGCCTCTGAACTGAGGCCTTAAGCTATGAACCGAGTAAACGTCCTGTCCGTGTTATCCAAGGGGTTCCAGCTGCCAGTCATCGGGGATCCTCCTGTCACTTTACTCCCGGATTGAAGAACTTATCCTGCAAGGGGATAGTGTTTGAAGCTTACATCGACGACTGTATTCAGGCACAGAACGATCATGCCCTTTTGCTTCGTCACATGCAGTTTGCGATACAGCTTCTTCGCCAATTAGGTTGGTTAATCAATCTGCAGAATCGAAACTAGTCCCTACGCGCTGACTTCAATTCATTGGAGCAGTGTTCGACACAGAGGTCAACAAACTGTTTGTCCCGAGGGATCGTTTCTGCAAGATACAGCGGTTGGTTTTCCTGGTACCAGTGCAACCTAGGACGCTTCTCCAATGACAGGAGCTCCTGGGCCTTTTGACATCTGTTCAGGCATTGACAACTGGTCAACTACAACTTCGTCCCTTACACCTTTTTGTGGCAACTTACATCACAGTGGGAGATCCCGGTGCTCTGATCCCTCTACCTCTGGAGCTCCATCCTCATCTTCAGTAGTGGATGGAAGAATTTAACGTTTTCGACGAAATCTGTTTAGAGACGTTTGTTCCGTCTCACCACCTGTATGTGGATGTGTCTCAACACGGGTGGGGAGCTCATCTTCTCAATCAACAAGTGGCAGGGCTTGGTCTATCATAGATCGCGTCTGTCACATCAACATTCTGGAGTTCAGGGCGGTGATTTTGGTAATCAGTCACTGGCAGGATGTCCTACGAGCAACTTCCCTCATGGTCAGATCGGACAACGCAGCAGTGGTTTGGCATATCAACAGAATGGGGTCAACGGGGTCTCCACAGCTTCTATAGTGGACTCAACAGTTCTTGGATCTGGTGGACTTTCTCAACATCATGGTACGAGCCAACCAAATGCCGGGGGTGAAGAATGTCATCGCAGATGCCCTGTCCCGACCGAGTCGTCCTTCTCCAACAGAATGGAAATTACATCCTAGGGTGTTTCAGACCTGCCTTCCAATGACTTCTCCAACAGTAGACCTCTTCGCCACGAGGTTCAACCATCAGCTGCTTTGGTTTGTGTCACCGATATGGGGCCTTTTGGCTTGGGACCTCGATGCTCAAGCCATCCCGTGGGAAGACCTGAATGCTTACACGTTTCCGCCAGTGGCCCTACTTCCTCGCATTCTAGTGAACTGTGTGCAACACGGAGGATGACTCTACTTTGGTCAGCCCTACTGACCGGCTAGAAGTTGGTTCGTAAATCTTCAAGACCTAGCCGAACCAGATCCTGTACCGCTTCCCAATCGACCCGATCTACTGGTTCATCCGCACTCCCACCAACTACATTGGTCCCTGTTGACGCTCCATCTGCATGTTTGGCGCATCTACATCAATCCTTAACGGCTAAAGGTTATTCGAAGCAGGTTGCTACTGCCATTACAACAGCGCATCGTACTTCTACAAGGTCACTCTACGAGGACAAGTGAGAAAGTTTTAAGCATACTGCAGGAAGAAGGGTATCTCATCCTCCACTATGGCATCCACGCAGATGGTGGCAGATTATCTTCAGCATTTCCGAACCGCCATGGAACTCAGAGGTTCTACACTGTCTGCCCACCTGGCTGCTCTTAACATGGTTATTGCAACGGCCTTGGGTGTGAAGATTTCCATTGTCCATGAACTCCAGTCTCTCCTAAGGCCTTTCAAATTGGCTTACCAATCCTGGAAGTTCCGGCCTCCAGCTTGGCATGTCTCTGTTGTACTTGCTCATCTCACGTCAGCTGAATATGAACCTCTGGAGGAGAAGATTTCGAACATGTCTCCTTTAAGACCTTTTCTCTTGGCCTTGGCTGCAGCTGCCCGTATCTCCGAGTTGCATGCTCTTGATGTTTCTCGGCTACGGTTTGGAAGGTCTAGACATGTGTGAGTTTTCCTTGGTTTGCGGTGGGATTTCCTTGCCAAGAATCAGTTACCAGGACAGGCGGATCGCACATTCACAATCCCACTGTTGTCCACTATTTTGGGCCCAGATGACACTGAAGATATTTCCTTATGCCTGGTTCGAGCATTACGGATTTACCTAACTGCCTCTAAGGACCATTGCAGATTGCGCAAGAGACTATTTATCCCGTTATCCACTGCTTCCGCCTCGGAAGTCTCCCGTACTACCTTGGTGTTTTGGATGAGATCTACAATCATGTGTGCATATGACTATGCGGACCTTCCTCCACCTATGATGGTGAACCTTAAGGAGACCTGGGCTTTGGCTTTCACCATGGCGCTTCATAGGAATGTTCCCTCCAGTCCATCATGAAGGGTTATTTTTGGAAGCCGGACACCATCTTTGCCTCGAACTACCTTCGGAATTCCTCGGTTACAGATGTGGAAGGTCAGCATCAGTTTGGTCCTTTGGTCCTGGCGCCGCAGTTGTCAACACCCCGTGTTCGCAGATAAAGCAATCCTTTCTTGATCGGTTTGCTATGTGCCTAATAGAAGATATCGATGTAATCCATATCTTGGTACTTTTTTCTCTTGGGCTTAGATCATTCTCACCTATGGGAATAGGGCGTGTCAGCACTGTCATAAGTTATGACTTGATAGACTGTGAGGCAAGTCTTGTGCAACATGTAGAGATGACCGACATTCCGCTTACTGACCTCTACTCTTTGAGCAATCACGTCAGTGAAGTGTTGATTTCCTATTACCTGCGTGGTTTTCGAAGCGTTCTGCTCCTAAGTCCATTCTCACCTTTGGTAAGTTATGGAGATTGGTACTGAACGTTAAATTAGTTGAGCAATCGGGCTATTCCCTCTTTCACTGCCATCCAGCGTGTGTCTGTGGGGGGTAGTTTCGAAGCAGGGACTGGCCAGATTAAGGTCCTCGACTTTAATTCACTGGGGTCACCTGATAATTCGCAGGGCGGCGGGGCCTACTTGCCAAACTGCGTCCTTTTGCTTGTCAAAAGTTGCGGCTGAAAACCACATTAATTCGGGAGCGCCCACTCCCTAGAGTTTTTGTGCTGTGTAAGCCAAGCGGTTACCTGAAGAAACCCATCTCAAGTTGAGTGGTGCTTTCTCCTGGCCTCCTTGGGTTATGCGTTTTTCCCGGTGGTAGTAGTAATGGGGTAATCTGCGACCAGCCTACCAACCGTGGGATTATGCATACCGTGAGATAGGATAAGTTATCCTATCTCACGCGATAGGACCCACCCGACCTGCCCCCACATCACAGATTACTGGAAGCTCCAAGACGAGAATGAGAGGTAGAGGTGGTCATCTGATCGTTTGGGCGAGCCGCACGCTTTGGTGGATGATTGACAGGTGTTGATGTTGATGTCAGGGTGAGGGCGGGTCAGAGGCCAGTTAGATTTAACTCAACTTAGCTGACAGCACGTTTCCACACATGGTCGTAGAAGAGAGAGATGGTGCATACCGTGAGATAGGATAAGTATATAAATATACAATTTATTATAAAATTTTCAAATTTGTTTGTGCGGCTATTAAATTCATATTTTCTTACTTTGTCATAGAAGTGTTTACATATAAAAACGTGTGCTGTGTGCAGATACAGAATTACAGTTCATGATTCACACCCTGTGTGCTCTTCATGCCGTAATGTTTAAACCTGTATCTTAAATTCAAGGTGTAATTTTTATCCCCCGCAACGCGTTTTGCGGGGGGTATTAAAATGGACTCCGTCCGTGCGTCCGTCCGTCCGTCAGTCCGTCCGTCCGTGCACATTTGTCTTTTCCGGAGCAGAACTCTAAAACCGTTCAATATTTCTTCACCAAACTTGGCACATACATGGATCTGGTGGTGTACTGGTGCCTTTTGGTAGTTTTGGAATTCTGAATTAAATGTTTTTGGCGTTTCCATGGCAACAAGTTCGACTTTGACTGAAATTAGTGGTAGTGCTCTTTTCCGGAGCAGAACTCTGAAACCGTTCAATATTTCTTCACCAAACTTGGTACATGGATAGATCTGGTGGTGTACTGGTGCCTTTTGGTAGTTTGGGAATTCTGAATAAAATATTTTTGGCGTTTCCGTGGCAACAAGTTCGACTTAGACTGAAATTGGTGGTAGTGCTCTTTTCCGGAGCAGAACTCTAAAACCTTTCAATATTTCTTCACCAAACTTGGCACATAGATAGATCTGGTGGTGGACTGGTGCCTCTTGGTAGTTTGGGAATTCTGAATAAAATATTTTTGGCGTTTCCATGGCAACAAGTTTGACTGAAATTGGTGATAGTGCTGCTTTCTGGAGCAGAACTTTAAAAACCTTTCAATACTCTCCTTCCACTTTTCTATATACACACCTAAATATTTCTATATACACACCTAAATATTTGACATAATCATAACTCGTAGACATAATCATGAAGAGTATTTTGCCATTGCGGGGGATATTGATGACTTTGTCTTCTTGTTGTGCTCATTTAGAAGAGTCTGCTTTCAGTTGTTATTTTGTGTCCTTACTGAGAATAAAGAAGGACAAAAAAAGGCAGGAAAATCAGATTGTCGACCTATGCGGTGTCACCAAAAGATAAGGCTTACAAGCAATCGACAGAATGTGAGTTTGTTCCTTTACAGTCCCCTGGGGACAATATTATATCACTGATATTAATATAGAATCCTTTTAGTCAGCTAGTTAGTTTCCCGCACGTAATTCTCATCGTATACTCGGAAACTATTACACAGTGTAGCCGATCTAAGAGAAAGTTCCCTGTGGGTGGGGTCCAGTCTGCAAAAGTTGGCAAAGTTGAAGAAGACTTCCATTCTCACTGTGCCCTCAGTCTACCAGTAGGCAAATATCTCTGACGACAACCAAAACTGAACATCATGTTTGGCACCTACCTGGGTATAGAGCCTCCACATTCATGCTTGGAAAGAATCGTGCCTTGGTAGGATGAAGCTACCAGCTACTCAGCTTCAGCATCAGTTGCTCTATAATGGAGACCATTTTAGAATGAGTTCACCATGAGACCATGTGGTACCTGTTTATGACCTTTGATTGTGTATTTCCTCATTAACTTCACCATTAGCTCATTTAAAACATGCATCGTCTGTAATTGTTTGTAACGTCTTTTCAAGAATCTAATTGAACCTGTTGTTACAAAAGACAACGAAAACACTGTTCTAATAGCAAAGGCCACAGCTGCAAGCAGAGTCTCAACTTCATGATCAAGAGTTTTCTGCCCTCATGCATGCAGAAGATTTGACCAAAGATTTGTACTCCAGGTTTAATTGGACAAACTGGTGTTTGTCTAACATTTTTTTCTTTTAATGAACGGGACCATTAACTGTCAGAATGTTAGAACTTACTGATCACTCAGGTATATTCTGGCAGTTATATAATTTCAGTTTTGTTGAATTTTCAGTATCAAAGAATACTCTTACATCAGTAGTCCCAGCAACCTCCCTAATAATCTGTATCTAGATTGTTGATGCTGGAAAGAAAAGTCTGTTTTTTTCTGCCTTACATATTGACATAAGGCTTGGGAAGATGGATACTGACAGTGGGGAGGAGGATTCTTGTTGAAAATATGAAAGTAGTGTGATGGATGCCTGGCAGTGGTGTCATCAAGGTCATATTCTTTTAATCAATAATCTGACAAGATACCTAAGTCCAAAACATTCAAAGTCAATCTAATCTCTCCATTCATTTTAATTGTAGAATACATGTCATTTTTATGTATGGCTAGATTTGTCTGCATTGCTAACAGCTGAAGGGATGGTGTAAATCCAGATAGGGTCCATGAAGGAAGCAAAAGTACTGTAAGTCCCCATGGTCCCTAACATGGTGATCTATCTTCAGTTGTTGACAATCTATAGCCTGTTTTTATATTGTATTGACCACCTCTGTGGTGTAGTGGTTAGAGCATCCGCCCGGAGAGCGGCAGGTTGCGGGTTCGATCCCCGACCGCATCATACCAAAAGACGTGAAAATATGGTACTTGTTGGTCCCTGCCTGGCGCTCTGCATTTATGGGTACAACAAGGACTGGTGGGCTCGGAGTCAGTATAATGTGTCTGAGTAGGGTTTTCATGTTTCACTGGGGCATGGCATCTCAGTGGGCTAGCACTATAAAACCAGCTGAAGTCTGGGCTAGTACAAGCAGCTGCACATACACATACACACACATGCATGATGTCATATGAGTGAAATATTCTCAAGCACGATGTTAAACCCAATTTCACCTCACCCCACCTTTATTATCCCCCGCAACGCGTTTTGCAGGGGGTATTAAAATGGACTCCGTCCGTGCGTGCGTGCGTGCGTCCGTCCGTCCGTCCGTCCGTGCACATTTGTCTTTTCCGGAGCAGAATTCTGAAAGCATTCAATATTTCTTCACCAAACTTGGCACATACATTGATCTGGTGGTGTACTGGTGCCTTTTGGTAGTTTTGGAATTCTGAATAAAATATTTTTGGCGTTTCCATGGCAACAAGTTCGACTTAGACTGAAATTGGTAGTAGTGCTCTTTTCCGGAGCAGAACTCTAAAACCGTTCACTATTTCTTCACCAAACTTGGCACATAGATTGGTCTGGTGGTGTACTGGTGCCTTTTGGTAGTTTTGGAATTCTGAATAAAATATTTTTTTCGCGTTTCCATGACTGAGACTGAAATTGGTGATAGTGCTCCTTTCAATGCTCTCCTTCCACTTTTCTATATACACACCTAAATATTTGACATAATCATAACTCGTAGACATAATCATGAAGAGTATTTTGCCATTGCGGGGGATACTGATGACTTTGTCTTCTTGTATTGTATTGTCATCTATAGTTAACATGTTTTCGAGTCAATGACTAGTTTTAAATTTAAATCTGTGATAAACTAGTTGTTATACTGTCCTTCATCGACATGTTTTATAATTTACCTTTATTTATTCTGTAATAACTTGTTTTTAGTCACGATATGGCTGAAATATTGCCAATGTGACTTAAAATGTTAACTCACTCACTCACTCACTCACTCACTCACTCACTCACTCACTCACTCACTCAATTGAATCAATAACAATGATAACTATTTTCTCTACTCTAATTATGTATATTGGTAGGTATTTAATGATTGTGTGAATGACAATCAAGTTTTGGAAAATAATCCATAGATTAATCATTCATGTGATTGATTGGTAAACCACTGAGTCAGGGTGACTGAGTACAATTGCCACCTGTATAAATGTCATATATCATGTGCATATCAGATCATCATATTTTGCAGTAAGAAGAGAGAGGTTGTTCCTGACTTGGCACCAATGCTGTGGCATTCATTTGGCACAATAGCAGCTCTCCTCCAAGAAATAGTAAACATATACCCGGCCATTAATCCTCCAAATCTTACGGTGAGTGACAACCAAACAGTTAATATTTTAAGCTTCAGACTTACAAGCTAACCCACAGAGACTTTACAGACATTATATGCATTGTTCAATATCTATAACCTGACAGTTAATATTTTGAAGCTTCAGACTTACAGGCTAACCCACAGAGACTTTACATACATTATATGCATTGTTCAATATCTATAACCAAACAGTTAATATTTTGAAGCTTCAGACTTACAGGCTAACCCACAGAGACTTTACAGACATTATATGCATTGTTCAATATCTATAACCTGACAGTTAATATTTTGAAGCTTCAGACTTACAGGCTAACCCACAGAGACTTTACAGACATTATATGCATTGTTCAATATCTATAACCTGACAGTTAATATTTTGAAGCTTCAGACTTACAAGCTAACCCACAGAGACTTTACAGATATTATATGCATTGTTCAATATCTATAACCTGACAGTTAATATTTTGAAGCTTCAGACTTACAGGCTAACCCACAGAGACTTTACAGATATTATATGCATTGTTCAATATCTATAACCTTACAGTTAATATTTTGAAGCTTCAGACTTTTACAGATATTATATGCTAACTATAACCTTACAGAATATTTTTGAAGCTTTTACAGATATTTATAGATATTATATGCATTGTTCAATATCTATAACCTGACAGTTAATATTTTGAAGCTTCAGACTTACAGGCTAACCCACAGAGACTTTACAGATATTATATGCATTGTTCAATATCTATAACCTGACAGTTAATATTTTGAAGCTTCAGACTTACAGGCTAACCCACAGAGACTTTACAGGTATTATATGCATTGTTCAATATCTATAACCTGACAGTTAATATTTTGAAGCTTCAGACTTACAGGCTAACCCACAGAGACTTTACAGGTATTATATGCATTGTTCAATATCTATAACCTTACCATTTTTGTGGCTTTGGTCATTCTGAGTGTGAACAAATGAGATTCATTACAGAACATAACACCCACACGCAATTAGGGCAGTTCCTTGCAGAGCCTTGAGTTGGCAAGAGCTGTCTTCTTTCTGCTGTGAAGAACATAAAATACTAGTCGAGGAGCTAATTAAAAAAGACATTTGACTTGAAAATGAAGAACGTCAATATTTATGGACGAAGCACAAGTTGTGATTAGAAATACCAGCGTGTATATATTCAGAGAAAAGCTGGTAAAGTTTGGACAAAATATTCTCTTGGACTGAGTGGGGCTTGTGTGGTATTGATGATAGGCATTTAGTGATCATTTCCTTTCAGTAGTAGAAAGGCCGAATTTGATCTTGTTTGATCTGTGGCTTCTGGACATGTATCTGTAGGCTCGTGCTGTTCTATGGTAACAAAGTTAGGTCATACATAGCACCCAACATTGGACTCTTGCCACAGTAATTAAGTGAGTAGCCAGTGCAGGGACAGGACGACTGGAGTGATATGGGATCTTCAGTTACATCCAATATAAGCCTGTTTCCCGGAGTCTGCTGCGCTATGCTTCAACACTGTCCCCGGCATTGACTACCGAACGGCATCCAATGGCAGCCTTCACTACAGTGCAACCTGAGAATGGTTGGTTAGAAGTTTCTCATAGCGCTGTCATCCTTACTAGGGCAAAGTATATGTCACCAGGACAATGCCTATTGTTTCTTTTAGTGCAAAAAAACATAATTATAACGTAAACATTCCCTCTGGATTATGGTAGCCTTATTCCTGTGGATACACAGAATACATACAGAAAATCAAAAGAAATTTTAGCACTAAGTCATAGCTATTCCTAGTGGTATACCTAATCTACCCCTGAGTTATCTCCCTTGATCCTGATGTCACTGTATTGTTCTCCTAGAACCCTTCATAATTTTTCTGTATGGTCCATGGGGCGGTGGGGTAGTCTAGTGGTTAAAGCATTGGCTCGTCATGCCGAAGACCCGGGTTCGAATCCCCACATGGGTACAATGAGTGAAGCCCATTTCTGGTGTCCCCCGCCGTGATGTTGCTGGAATATTACTAAAAGCGGCGTAGAACCAAACTCAGTCAGTCTGTATGGTCCACACGCATGACGGCAGAGAATCGAGTGAAAAAATCAAGACTTCAATTCTTCATATATAGGTCAGTTACAAATCGCATTCCATTTAATATTCAACCGCATTGCTGTTTTGCATTTATATTAGATATATTTCCAACGTATTTAGGATCTGAAGTTTTCCTGCCCTTTTTGATTGACAAGTATGGCACAGCCAATGTTTGCTATTACAGAAATTCATGGCGGATGTTGATCCCCACTCTCTGTGTGCTTCCTGTTATAAAGGCTTACCTTGCTCAATCTCGGATCGATGCTTATTGTGTCAGGAAATGTCTGAAGAAGATTGGTTGTTGATGGACAAATCTTGTTCCTTAGTTAGGAAGCGTAAACATTCATCGTCATCAGAATGTTCTAAGTCGAAGAAAGTTCAGGGATCTCCGCCTTTATCTATTAAATCTGAACCGAAGTCTCGTTCTAGATCTAAATCAAAATCCTCTCCCCAGTTGGATATATCTGCGTTCTCAGAACTTTTGGCGGGATTTAAATCCGATATCCAGGTGGCCATGGATAAATCTGTACGGGATATGGACATGAGGAATGACGAAAAATTTAATCGCCTGTCAAAACATTTGGAGGATCCTGTTTTATCCTGCAAGACGGCAGATAGCTGCAGTGGCTTGGTGGTGGCGGGGGGCCAAAGTCACTTCCTACGGAAACCAGGGGTGCAATGACCGGGAAAGCCGGTTACCATGCCCTGGCATACGTAGTAGGTCGGTCCCCTCAGTGGGAGCAGCCTAGGGCTTCAAGCAACGGGGATGGAGTCTGTCCAGCCGGATCCGGATCCGGGGTGACCGTGGCTCAGGCTACACACTCCGCGTCCTTTGTCCCTGGGAGCCAGTCATCGCATACAGCCTGCTACATTCTCCCACGGGGAGACCGGGCTGCAAGTGTTCCACGGGTCTGACTCGGTCCAGACGGCACGTGATTCCGGCCCCAGCTTTAGCCAGGCCACTGGGTCGGCTGCTATGGATAACGGTGTATCAACCCAGCAGTCTGATTTGCACGAGCCTAGCGGTTCAGAGGACACGGCTACAGACCCGCAGGGTTGTTTTGACACAGACAATCCGCCCTTAATCCCGTTAGTGTCTGATGTGACGGACCAGGAGGATTCATCGGTTTATCCTTTTTCACAACCGGAGTTTTCCATGAAAGAAGGCTTGTTGACGGTACAATCTATGGACATGTCAGCACAGGATTTTAAGCCAGGCTGGTCATTTAAAGAAAAGCTGGAACTTTTGCACGGACTTTATCCTAATACTCTACCACCGCCGTCAGACGAGCAGGAGACAGATATTCAAGTGGAACTCGGATTATCAGGTTGCCTTCCCTCGGAACGGATGCCTAGGCTGTCATTACCACATTCATCATCACTTAAGAAAGTGTTGGAGAATTACAACTTAGGCCTCTCCAAGGCTACGAACTTGAGTTCTTTGCCTTGGGTTTCTCATAAACCCATTTATTCCATTCATGATCGTGTTATCCCAGCCAATCAACCAAGTTTAGACAAAGACTTTAAACAATTACAGGATGCTAGAGGCTCTCGTGACTATGCATCGTTCTGTACTTTCAAGGATTGTAAGGAATTGGATACGGCAGCCCGTTCGGCGATTGATACCCTATCTTATTCAAACTGGTTTTCTTCGGGAGTTTGTGCCTTGCTCCCACCGGTGTTTCAAGATTATACAGGAGTTAAGAAAGACACTTTGATTTTCATGACTGCTCAAGAGGTGGCGTTAGCCCATTCGTTTCTGGATGTAGTGTATCAGTCCTTAGCCGATGCGATGGCGACTCAAGTGAATATATTGGGCCGACTTACAGCTATTGAGCGAATACAGCGGCTAGATTCAGTGAGGAATTTACCGGATGTTTCAAGGGATTTTCTATTGCACCAGCCCTTGGAATCGGATAACACCTTTAATGGACAATGTCAACAGGCTATTGAGGCTAGAGATGCCTGGACATCGAGGAACTTGAATCAACGTTTAGCGTCGGCTCTTTTATTCCAAAATAGAGGAAGGGCTGACACTAGATCTAGAAAGGGTTCCAGTGTTATGTCTCGTTCTGCTCCATCTTCAACAAGTCGTAGTCAGAATTTTCAGAGATCTGCCTTTGATCGTGCTTCGGCTTCAAGAGCACGTTCAACAAATGTGGCTTTTACTAGAGGCTCATCCTCATCTAGGGGTAGAGGTAGGGGAGGTAGACCTTTTCGTGGATCAAGATCAACTTCTAAGAAATATTGACTCAAGTCTCACTGTTCAGAGTTTTCTTCCTTACGAATCGGAAATGTTCCTCGAAATGATATTGGTTTTGGACTTTGCATGTCCGTTGACACAATCTCCAGTAGGGGGCAGATTGGCCCAATACAATTGGAAACTGATAACATCAGACGAGTGGGTCCCGTCTGTCGTGAAAAGGTTTTTTCTTCCTTGGCACAAGCAGCCTCCAGTGACTTGTTTTCCAGAGGGTCGTCGATTTTGTCTTCAAAACCAGCATTTAGTGGGAGCAAACTTAGCAATAAATCATCTACTGGAGAAACGGGCAATCATAGAACTCCCTCCAGGGGATCAGACATGCGTGTTTTATTCACCGGTATTCCTAGTCCCCAAGAAAGATTCGGACGAAATGCGCATGATAATAGACTTGAAAGTGTTGAACAAGCTATTTTTGAGGAAACCGCCAAAGTTCAGGATGGAATCAATTGCAAACCTACGCACCTTGATTTGTCAGGATTCCAAGATTATAAGCATAGATCTAAAGGATGCGTATCTTCATATCCCTATTCATCCAAGATCTCGCAAATACCTAAGATTTGTGGTGAACGGCCGCAGGTTTCAGTTTAGGGTGCTGCCGTTCGGAATATGTCTAGCGCCGTTGTTCACAAAAATAATCTCCCCGATTCTGGCT